ATATGTTTATGTTAGATGACACAGACAGATTCCTTGAAAGACTACAAAATTACCACAGCTAACTCAACAAGAAACAGGTAACTACTCATTTGCTAAAATTTTGTTACGAATTTTTTCATCTATGTTCATGAGAAATATTAGTCTGTCATTTATCTTTTTTAAAAATTAACTTTTTAGTTAAAATCTACAAATAAAACATCAGGCCAAAATGATTCAACCCGTAAATTCTACCAAACATCTAAGAAAGCAGTATTGATTCTATACAAACTTATCCATAAAATTGAAGGCAAGGGAATATTTCTTGTATAAGGCTAGAATTATTCACTGATACCAAAACCAGAAAAGTATTACAAAAAAAATACTATAGACTGATTATCCCTAAAGAAAATTGATATAACTACTTAGAACACAATTCTAATAAACTGAACTCAATTAATATATATATAAAAATAAAACATCATGACCAAGTAAAGTTTATCTCAGGAAAGCAAGGTGGTTTAACATTAAAAAAATCAATCAATGTATTCCACTAAACAAACAAAGGTTAAAAACACAACACACAAAAGAAGAAACTAAAACCCCCATATAAGCATCTCAATAGATGTAGAAAAGCACATGACAAATTCCATAATCCATTACTAATAAAAACCTTTACCTAACTAGAAATAGAAGGGTACTTCTCAACCTGGCAAACACTATTTATAAAAAAACAGACTATAGCTAACATTATGCTTTCCTCTTAAGACCAGCAATAAGGCAAGGATGTAAGCTCTCACCACTTGTATTCAACATTGTACTAAAAGTTCTAGCTAGTGTAGTAAGGCAAAAAAAAAAAAAAAGGAATCAAGATTAGAAAGAAAGAAGTAGAACTGTCTTTATTCATAGACAATTTGATAGTCTATGTAGAAAATATGGGATCTATAAAAAAAAAGCTATTAGAATTGAGTTTAGCAAGATTATAGAATATATGGTCAACATACATAAATCAATTGTACTTCTACATACATAAGTTTTTTTAAATACTACTTACAATTTGATCAAAAATATAAATTAGATGTATATTTAACAAAAAATGTGCAACACCTATATACTGAACACTACAAAACATTGCTGAGAGAAACTAATGATCTAAATAAATGGAAAAATATACTGTGTTCATGTAAATAAATTTGGTAATATCAGAAGAGGGGAATGGAGCCCTGGCTCAGTGGATTTAGCTCTGGCCTGAGAACCAAAATGTTACCAGCTGGATTCCCAGTCATGGCCACATGCCTGGGTTGCACACCGGCTCCCAGTTAGGGGCGGACAAGAGGCAACTAATAGATGATGTATCTCTCTCACAACAATGTTTCTCTCCCTCGATTTCTCCTTCCCTTCTCTTCTCTCTAAAAATGGCATAATCAATAAAAAAATAAATTAAAAAATAAATAAATAAAAATAAATAATAAAAGTGATGAAATGCATATCTAAATAAACAAATAAATAAATAAATAAATTTTTAAAAAGAGAAAGGAATGGAGAGTGGGTAGTGAAAGAATAGCCTAGAATTTAGTTAATGATTTCTGTCATATAAAAACAGTAACAAGTATAAAGAATTACACATTTAAGCTTTATGAAGTGTAACTCCACAATCTCTCAAAAGTGAAAGTGAATCATTTGCAGGAAATACTCTGAACTGAATGACAACACAGAAGACACTGAGAAGAAAATCAGAGGATAAAATAAATGTGATTTTTGCCTTTGTAAAACAAGGCAGGATGAACCTAAGAGTAAGATGCGCAGCAATGGAGATTTACATGAAAACCTCATAGAAGCCTTTGAAACCAAATGATTCCTTGTTGGAACAAGCCTTGCAATACAAGGATACAAGGTTTTTGAATTGACTATGACAAACACTTTAAAGTATTCAAGACAGGCTTTAGGGCAGAAACATTATATTAGTGTTTTAAAGAACAAGAAAAGAGATTTGCTTTGTAAATAATCACAAACCTAAAGGTGGCTACCAACTGAAAAAGGACAGATATGTCAAAATTACAGTTATCAGTACATAAAACTTAGGTTCTAGAAAAAAGTTCCTAATATTACAAATCAAGTACATTTTTCCAATTTTATCAGATAGTTGTTTACTTGTATTAACAACATTCCATCATTATCATCAAAAAATAAACTTTAATGTGGACATTAAGTGTCATCTCTTATCATAAAATTTTCAACTTGAATAAGCATGCCAAATAAAATTTTTTGTTGTTGTTGTTGTTCAATTACAGTTATCTGTACTTTCTCCCCCAGTCCAAATAAGATTTTGAAAGCATTTAAGCTAATTTAACTTTTGCTGGAATATTTTACTTCTACATGTTTAAAATGAAAATGTCCGTAAAGGAATCTGAATATATAAAATAACATTTCATAAAAATGTTTTAAACTTCCATCCTTAGTAAATTTTAAAGTAACACATCTTCATATTCATGCTGTTAAGGATAACAGTAATTAATACAAACATCAAGAGCAATCATTGTAGGAATACTGGTCATTTTTATACAGCTTGGCAAATTATCAAGTACCTGCTGGTTATTAATTTTCAAACATATGGGAGCCCTGTGGTAATACACATTAAATTGATTGTCTTCCACAAATATGGCATAATGAAAAATGAATTATTAATCTTCTCTATAAGAAATCACTTAACTCATTCATATTTTTGGCAATATACAACTTAAATACCAAATCTTTTATATAGAAACTAGTTTAAAACTTTAGTAAAATGTTATATTAAAATAATCATGAAATTTAGGCCATTATTTGTCCTAACCCTATGCTTACATGTGCAATACACTTATTATTTTATGTAAGTTGCTAAATTTTTATTTCTTTAAAACTAGTTAGATTCATAAATGTTTATAGTACTTGCATTCTCACAAAAAAAGACCATCATTTCATTAAATAACTAAGAACTTTACAAACCATGGATATCTCAAATCAGCCAGATAGCAACTGAAAGATGAATAATTTTCAATCGATTTATTTTTTTCTAAATTTCACAAAATACATGGCTACCTTAATGGACATCACATGTCAAGTTTAAAAGTATTTTTTCAATAATTGTTTTAAAAATTATGATTTGTATACATTTCATTTGCAGTTAGATTTCTTAATGTTTATATAAGTTAATAGTTTTCTAAAGTCTAATCCTGCTTTTTTTGAAGGAAGAGCAGGGCAAAAAACTACTATAATATTAACATTTAGATTATTTATTGATTTTATTGCATAAATGCCCTGAACACCTGATCCAACTACTGACTTGCCTCAAAATCATTACAAATTATGTTAGCAATTAGTCATAAAGATACAAAAATAATCTAAATTAAAATTAAATATCCTAGAATAAAATAATTTACAATCATATTCAACAACTCGACATGGAAATCTAAATAAAATAATGTGATCTGCTAAAGCAGGGAACTTCCAAGTCCCAATGACACCCCAAAAGAAGATTGCAGGGTAATATAATCTATTACACTCCAAAAATTGGATCTTCTCCCAGTGAGCTGTCACACTAAGAAAGGAAAATTCAAAGGAATGAAATAGTAGTAAATGAATATATTAATTTAATAGGACTTTGTATTAAAATATGTCAGAAAATACTTAGGTTCTTTGGCTTTAAAAAAAGATATAGCAAATTCAATTAAATATAATTAAAAGAAAAAAAAAGAAGACTTTCTCCGATGACAACATACAGATGGCCAACAGACATGAAAAGATGCTCAACGTCATGAATCATCAGAGAGATGCAAACTAAAACCACAATGAGATATCACTTCACTCAGGTCAGATTAGCCATCATCAATGAATCAACAAACAAGTGCTGCAAGGATATGAAGAAAGAGAATACTTTTTGCACTGAAGAATGCAGACTGGTACAACCACCATGGAAAGCAGGATGGAGATATCTCAAATAATTAAAAATGGATCTACCTTATGACCCAGCAATCTCATTTCTGGGAAAGTATCCAAAGAAACCCAAAACACTAATCTGAAAGAACATAAACACCCCCATGTTCACTGCAGTATTATTTACAATCTCCAAGATACGGAAGCAGCCCAAGTGCCCATCAGTAGATGAATGGATAAAACAACTATGGGACATTTACACAATGGGATACTACTTGGCTGTAAAAGAAGAAAAAAAATTTACTCTTTGCAATATCATGGATGGACCTGTAGAACATTATGCTAAGTGAAATAAGCCAGTCAGAGAAAGACAAATACCATATGATTTCACTCATATGTGGAATCTAATGAAGAAACTGAAATAATAAGCAGAAAACAGAGAGAGACTCATAAATAGAGAGCAGGATGACAACTACTGGGTGGGGTTAGAGGGTAGAGGAATCAAGCAAAAAGGAAAAAGGACTCATGGACATGGCCAACAATGTGGTGGCTTGCGGCAGGGAGTGGCATGTAAGGGGTTAAATGGTAATGGAAAAAATACAATTAAAAAAATTTAAAGACTTTAATACCAGTCTATATTAACAATAGTACTGTATATACCACAACAAAGGAATATTCTTCCTAAAATATGTTAAGTAATTCTCATGTTTAAAATATGTGAAGGATGTAGCAAAAAGCATGAGTTTTTAACAATCATAAATATATTACAAAAGTGTTCTCTTTTATCCCCATTTTATAAAATCTGGAGCCATTCTAAAGCTGAATATAAAAAGATATGCTATACTGTTGACTACAGAATACTAAAAAATTTTATTGCCATTTAAACAAAGAAGCCATAACAGTTAAATGAGCTTAAGAAATAGGTTTCAGTATCACAAGGTGCCAGCTGTAAAGAGTTATGGCTAATTGAATATGGAACTCCTGCTTAATCAGATAACTGCTCTGCTATTTCCAAATGAAATGCCATTTCCATACTGTCTGAAAATGGCTCGTTTTATTGGTAACCGGAGAAAACAATATAAACTGTAAATAACATTAAGTGCTCTGTTTACCCATTCCAGGCACTGAAGTAGCAGGGGATCCAAGACGTCTCGGTAACACATTTGATGACAGGGCTGGAGTAACCGTTCTTTCTGGGGGTCCACCAGGGGCTGAAGTGTCCTTTGCTGGTCCAGGAGTTACTGGAACTTGCGGAAGAGGGCCCTGGCTAGTGCTTGCTGGTGCTGGAGAAAGGTTTCTTTGGGCTGCAGTTCGCTGACGAATCTCTGGGAATAAGTATATACTAAATTCAATATCCAATATACCATATCAGCCACTATCACAAGTATTACATTTAATAAAGTTTTGTGCCACCAAAAGGCATCCATAGGACCAATCTGCTTGTAATAAGAAATCTATAAAATGGAACATTGAAAACTGACTATAACAGAGTACTCCATTTCTGAACCTACAAGTCAACCACATATATTTACAAAACAAGCCTTGATCTCACTCTCTTTACTGATATCACTTTTCAAAATAAATTAAAATAAAGTCATCATCCAATTTGTGTCATGTCTTTTACAGCAGTCCTTCCTAATATACAATAAAGAAAGCATATCAGAATTAGTGAAGATCCTAGTGGAAATTGCAGATGTTTTTCAAGCTAAAAATAATGGTAACTCTATGAAATGAGTGAATATATATATTCTGGAATTATCAAATTTATGAGGTAATTAATCTAAGTGGTCATAGGAATGCCCATAAAGTATTCTTTACTATTAGGTACCATGTTCATTCTCCATCATACTATTGCTATCGTTTTTTAGTAAATTTCTTTTTGTCAATACATTCAAAGGAAAACTTCCACTCAGCATAATGTATCATCATAAATAGATCTTATATTTAGTTGCAGAAATTACAAGATTTTCTGTAACAGGTTGGCAAATGTACCACATCCAGACTGCTGCCTCTTTTTGTAGTTTTATTGAAACACAATAATGCTCTTTTGTTTACATACTGTCTACGGCTGCTTTAAAAAAGAGTTGAGTAGTTGCAACAGAGACCATATGGCTCTCAAAGCCGTTTACTCTATTTACTATCTGGCCCTTTACTGAAAGTTTTATGATCCCCTAACTCAATAACATAAAATTCAATTCTATCATTCCCCATTCCCACCAATACCTTACTTGAATGTTGATGGTAACATCTCAAGTAAAGAAGCACTTAAGCTTTTCTAATTCTACATAGCACAATGAATTATTACAAATCTTGAAGTGGTAGGCTGAAACTAAAGAAGTTAAATTTTAATTGGCATGACTGGCAAAAATGCACATTTTCACAAGCAAAATAGATTTGGACTTTGACAGTTAAAGATTTCATGAAAAGTTCACTGCAATCAAAAGTACAGCTCTAGCATCAGATTTCAATTTACTACAATCTAATCTACTGGTTAAGAACCTAGGCCCAGTGGTGAGAAATGTCTGGTTAGAATCCTGGCTGTTGCTACATTACCTCAGACGGGTTAACTTCACTAAATCTATTCTTAACTCCAAAGACTGTTATAAAAATTAAATAAAATAGCATCTGTAAATTGAAAGCTCAGACTTACTGAATACATATTACTTCATGTGACTGTGCTTTCACAATATTAAGTATTTTCAAATGACCAGTTAGCTGTAATTACTGGAGCTAACTAATTTCCCATTGATTGTTTTTTCAAATGTGATGGGTTTATTTTATTTTGCTGTGATGCAAAACCAAAGTGGCTTTGCACAGAGATCAAAGCAGTAAAAGGCCACAAAAAAAGTAGTGTGGGACATGCAGGACGTGATGTACAAACTGGAGGAAAGGGTTGTTTCCTTGATGACATGACACTACATTGTCGCTAAGGAACACATTTAAAATAATACTGTGGAACTGAACTGTGACACAAATATAGTACTAAACACTTAAGACCTATATAATTTTATTAACCAATGTCACTCCAGGCAACTTCCAAACATGCCTTCCAGCACCTCACTTAGGATGGACTTGCCATCTTTAGACTTCAATGTGTGGGAGGATTACAATTCTTTGGAAGAATAAAAAATTCACACTTTTGAAATTTTGGAGAAGAATCTTAAGGCCAAAACATAGTTGGTTCATTTCTCTTCATCTCCAGGGATAAATCTGATGCTTTATTCAATACCTCATTAAGCTTCTAGTTCAAATCTCAACCCAAACTTGTGACCTCCTGCATTGAAGTTCTTCCCATTGATTGAAACCGATAGGGTCAGTTTGACTCCTGGTCAAAGAATCTGAGTATAACCCAGTCCAATCAGGCATTATTTACTTTAGCAGAGAGAGAAGTTCTACAATCCAACTTATATTTAGCAGCAATGCCAAAACTGCTGTTACTGCCAGCAATGCACTCTCTAACCTAGCCACTGCAATAATAAATTACAACTATGTCATCATTATATAAATAGAACTGTCCTTATATTGGGCTATTTTCATGCAATTTATACAGAAAATTTCAGATTTTACTTGGACTACTTGTATCCTAATATCTCCTGCAAGTTACCTAGTCACTTACTTAATAATCACAAGGAACGTGATAACAAGGAACACCTTAAAAGGTAGTTACACACCAGGAAAGCCATTAAATGCTACAAAAGGTACCGAGATCAATAAAGTCATATTAAGCTATAGTCATTTAAATTAATTTTTAAAAAACAAGGCATCAATATTATAAATAATTTTAGATGATTTCAGATAAAACATAAAAAGACATTTTCTTCCAAATGAAATTTAACCTTTATTAGACTATATTAAAAGTAGCTATTATCTTTTCACTTCTTAAACAAAGACTTGAGACTGCTTCCTCTGACTGTTCATTTACTCTGTGAAAATTAACTAAAGCACACTTTTAACAGCACTCATGTTGGAGCTCCATTCCTGCAATCGGTTAGCGCACGGTACTTAACAGCACTCGTGCTGCTGAAAGGTGAGGTTTATAACTACCTAGTAAGCAAAGAACATCATGTCTAGCATTCCATAAGAAATTTGGTGTAATAGCTTCTAAATTTAAGTCTAGGCAGAAAGGCGGGAGGGGGATGATAAGAAAAAGGAGAGGGAAAGGGAGAAAACAGTTTCATCATTTTCAAAGGAAAAGCGGGTAACAAAGACAGTATGGTGATTACCAGAAGGAAAGAGGAGCAAGGAAAGGTAGTGGAGGGTAAAGATAAATGGTGAAGGAAGGAGACCTGACGTTGGGCAGTGAATACACAATATACAGATGAGGTATTATAGAACCGTACGCTTAAAACCTATATAATTTTATTAACCAATGTCACGCCAATAAACTCAAGTTTTAAAAGTAACATATCAATAGTTTAAAATAGCTAGTGATACAATCTAAATTTATATTTGGAAAAGTGTTATGAAATATTCTGATAGTCTCAGTTTAAAATACCTAAGATTTCCCAACTTTTAGCCACTTGCCACTCACAAACACCTTGTATTATAACTACACCAAAAAGTTTCTAGTACTCACCGAAGTAGTCATATTAGTTATATTCAACATTTCTTGCATTTAAATATAAAAGAGCATCATCATTCCCCCAACACACATAAGATTTACCAAGCATTCCACATCAATCTAGTATAGTATCATAAGGAATATTCTATAAAGTCAACTCTTTTTTAAAAAACTTTATATATTTATTTTTAAGAGAGGGAGAAAAATATAAATTGGTTCCTTTTTTCACGTGCGCCCCCAACTGCGGACCTGGCCCACCATGCAGGTGTATGACCTGACCAGAAATCAAACTGGTGACCTTCTGCTTTGTGGGACGGCACCCAACCCACTGAGCCACACCAGTCAGGGCCCCATAAAGGTCAACTCTTGACAGGAAGATGTTTTAACATCCTTGTCAATGACCAACCAATAATGTGATAAAAATCACACTCATTGAATATGAGGAAACATCTACATTTTTAATTCAAAATAAAGCAAAGAAAATCAAAATATGATTAAAAACTACTGCCCTGGATGGCACAGCTCAGTGTATTAAGCGCAGGCTGTGAAAGGGTTGCAGGCCAGGTCACCAGTGGGGGCCATGTGAGAGGCAACCAATCACTGATATTTCTCTCCCTCTCTTTCTCCCTCCCTTCCCCTCTTTAAAAATAAATAAAAACCTTAAAAAAAACTACTATATGATAATAAACAAAAGGAAGAAAAGTTTAAAATAATGATGACACAAGATAGTTGCTAAAGCACAGATTCTGGGATCAAACTGGTTTGATTTAAATTTTAGCCCTGGCTGGTGTGGCTCAGTGAATTGAGTGCCGCCTGCAAACTGAATCGTCACTGGTTTGAATCCTAATCAGGGCACATACCTGGGTTGCAGGCCAGTTCCCTGATTGGGGGTGTGCGAGAGGCAACCAATCAATGTATCTCGAACACCAATGTTTCTCTCCCTCTCTTTCCACCTCCCTTCCCCTCTCCTTAAACATAAGTCAATAAACTTTTTTAAAAGAATGTAAAAAATAAAAAGAAAAACTAAATTCTAGCTCCACCCCATTTATCAAATGTACATGCAGCCTTTACCACACTGATAACATATCTCAACTCAGTTCAGCTTCCTCATAATGAGAATACTTACCTCTTACAGTTTTTATAAAGATTAAATGAGATGATCAATGCAAAGAGCTTAGCCAGAGCACAGAAAAATTACTTAATAAGCAATAACTAGTAGAAGTAGTACACATCTAAAGGTTGCAGAGATTACAATAAATCAATAGCTAAGCAATCTAGAATTTCTAAATCAATTATTAAAATAAAAGTTACTGATTTATAAGTTAAATGTTTTCCTAAAGTTATCTGTACAGTTATTTAAATGCTTAAATTTACAATTTAGGTAAAAATTTAAATCTATAACCCTAGCTTGCTATTAAATAACTTTTGAAATAAATATGCTATAATACATACAATGATCTCTTAATTTATCAGACTTTTTTAAAAAACTTTCACTTACTTATTTTTAGAGAGAGGCAAAGGGAGGAAGAGAGGGAAACAAAAATCAATATGCAAGCAATGCATTACTTTAAGGTATCTTCAAGCAGAAAACTTGCTAATCATATTACTTGCTGGCCTTCAGTTGAGTCTTTTTGTTGTTCTGCTTTTTAAATTAAGAGTACATTTTGCTTTATAGCTCTTTATCTCACCCCCAACTGGGGACCTGGCCTGCAACCCAGGCATGTGCCCCACCTGTTACCAGAGTTTTAAATGCTGCTTCTTTAT